TAACTGTTATTTCCCTCTAAATATGCCTGAATTTCTTCCAATGTGGGATGACAGTCAGATATAAGAGAGCAGTTATTAAGGTCTTCAGGTTTCTGGAAGCATTTGGAAGGATCCTATACCTGCAAGGTACAATCTGCAGAGCAGGCACACACCAAAACAGGGCACTGGAAACCTACACTTGCAAGGTGCACACCCACATGACTGAGTCCAGGACATGGTGATAAATACAATTTTTCCACTGATATATTAATTTGTATTTTTGAATACAAGTCTCTCAGTTTGTTATGTTACTAGTACAAATCTCACTTTTTTTCCCCAATGATAAATTGGGGAAAAATGTCAAACGTCTCTCAGTTTCAATTTCATTCTAGTGATATGTCTGCAGCCATACAAAGCAATTTTTATAGTTTCCTCATAGCTGTGTCCAGTCCTTTCTTATCTTTGCAGTATATACTGAATGATAAATGCTGTATTTACCAAATGCTAATATGGAAATTAGAGAGAGAATCTTCTAGAGTTGAAAGGGAATACGAATATTAAAGTCTGATGATTCTGTGCAGGAAGCTAAATCATTAGGCCTTAAGAGCTAATGGCCTTAGGAACACAAAACAGCTTACTTATGCATTAAAGATGCAATGTATTTACATTTTTCCAGTTCATGAGTTTTATGATGATTTCCTTGCCTGCACTTTGTTTCCTTTATAGTTTATACAAAATGGACATGTTTTTCCTTTTTGGCTAAGTATGAAAAAGAAAACACAGTAGCATGAAAAAATGTTTTCCTATACATCCACATATTTTGGTAGTATAGAAAATCTGAATTTGACAAATTGGTTTTACAGTATTTTTACGAAAAATCCTACTTCTGTAAACTAAAACATTGAAGTGATAATATTCTGAGCTGTCCTTTTTTCATACAAACATTTCCAATGTTTCAAAATGCAATACAAAATGATGGCCCACTTTGTTGCCTTCTTCTGTGAAGGTTTTTAAAATAACAAATTACAACTTTTTTTCAGGATTCTTCCTAAAAGTTGGCATTTTTCTTTTTCCTCTTCAAAGCTTAGAGTGCTTTGATGGCAGAGACAGGACAGAAGGCTTACAAATATCATTTATGTCAATGGAAGTTACTAATGCATTTACAGTGAGTATAAATGCAAATCTGACAGCAACAATTGCACAACTACAGAATTGAATAGAGTGATGTTCAAAATGACATCTGTTGCATAGGACAGATGAAAAATTCACCTGAATTCTAGTCAGATACATTGTTTGGGGTTGTTTTTTAAAAACTCAGAGTTGTTTTTCTAGGTGACAGGTAGTCATTTGGAAAAATAGCATTCTTACACACAGAAGAAACATCCATCACCTTCAAACAGTGGTGGCACTCCAGAAAAATTCACAGGTTAATTTTTCAGGACTTGTAGGAGATAAAGCTCTGGTTTTTTCCCCTGGGCTTAAAGCATTGTCACAGTTTACCATGTATTATTTCATTAATGCATTATCATTGGAAAAGAGAGCTTTAAGTACAAAACCACATGGCTTATCCACAGATAAAATGCAATTAAACCCAATGGAAAGCTAATGCTTTCCCCAAATGCATTTAAACCAGCTACGATTGCACTGGCAATTTAGGGAGGCTGCATTAAGAAAGATTTATGATTATGACCTGATCAAATCACCAGGAATTTTCTGTGGACTCTGTCTTTATGTACATTGAACAAGATGGTCTGCAGGAGAAATCAACAACTGCAACAATGGCTCTATAATGATTTCCTTTTAGCCCATGATTCCAGCTGCTCAACACTTGCTAAAATTTCAGCTTTCTAGATGCAATTTCAACAAACTGGGTGCAAAAACCAAACAGATCTAGTGTTTGGCTTGTTGTAGAGTTAAAAGAGAATAGAAAAGATGAACAAAGTAGAAAAAAGCAATTCCCTCCCACGTTTGCTTTTAAGAAGAGAAAACACCTCTGTCTTTTAAGAAGTCTGGAGATTTTAAACTGAAAGGTGATAACACCACATAGGAATTAAGTTTTTGAGGAATGGATGTCTAGTCAGTGCTGTGGCTGCTGATCTGAAAACTCTCAGCAAATTTTCAAGACATTATTCACTGTGTTCCTGGTACAAACAGCTCTAATTATACTACTGCAGTTTCTGAGGCTGGGTACCTTCACAGGTAACTGGAGGTGATGAGATTCAGCAGCTCAGGGAAAGACAATCATTGTTTTTAAAGGACATTGTGTTGTATCTCACAAGGGTAAATACAAGCTCCTGGCAGCTGGTGAAAGAAATACAAACTGATCATGGCAAGGGAAAAATCTTCTCATCCAAGAGTTGTAGAGCTGCAGCTGCTCCACTAGACACCAGTAAAAAATCAAGTAATTCACCAAAACAAAAGGAAGAAACACCTTGCTTGTTAACTTCAACTAAAAACTCCAAAGTTTTATGCTTTTAGTAGAGAACTTTAAATTACTGAATACATCTTCAGTTCAGTTACTCTTCTGCCACAAAAGACAAAGTCACAGAAGCAGAAAATGTGCTCAACTCCCTTTGCACCACCTTTGTGTCATATTGTAGTTCCCAAACGTGACTCTTATTTGTGTAAGCAAACTGTAATTGTTTTCTTTTCCCTTTCAACGGGAATAGAATTAGACCCAAAGCCACTCAATTATATATGTTCCCCATGCTTCCCTTTTCACTAACCATTTGTGATGACCTGCCAGTGTGCAAGTGCCCCATCTGTGCCTGAGGCCATTTCAGATCACAGGAATCCTGCACAGCAACAACTTCAGGCTTGCAAGAGAAAGCTTGCTGCTTTCATTATTTTAACTTTTCCACAGAAGAGGTCACGTGGCAGTTAAATCCTGCAATGATTCTGCAGGCAGCCAAAGATGTATCTCCCCACACAAAACAGACATAGGCTTGTGGCAAATAAATCAATTTTTGTGCAAAATACAAGTATAGAATCCTTTTTTTCCCCACTACAGGTATGCCTCTGAAAAGCCCTATTACCTGCTTCACTGTTGGCAATGGAGAAGAAACTCCATTATTAGTGGTTTCCAAAATGCTGTTAACAAGACTGGAGTATTATTCATCCAAATCATTTTCATTTCTGAAAATTTTTTTACTCCATTAAGAGTATTTTCCCATTTAGTTCCCCTGATGGCAAAAGTCACTAGTAAAAGATGGAACCAGTCAAGGAAGAAGCAATTGCTTCTCTCTTGCTGATCAGACAACAAATTGGAGCCAGTCAGGTTTCCACTGAAGCATCAGACTGCTGACATAAAGAACAGCACTGTTAACCACTGATTCTTGTCAATCATGAGACAACTCTTCCTGAAAAACTGATTGAGGCTTCACTTCACTAAACCACAGAAACACTACAGGCGTGTTTAGAAAGGTACACAACGTTAGGCCGAGAATGATATGCAGATTTATTTTTATCTGAAATATGCAAGTGAACAGTCCATGATGAGAGAATCAAATTTCACAGCTAATAGGTTCACTGATTACCATGAATTGTCAGTATTTAGTTAAAACACCTCCACTCAGCCAAGAATGTCATTATTTCTGATGGAAGTTGGAACATTTCATTGCACATTGTCTCAGTTGTCATCACATCTTTGGCACAGCAATTTTTTCTCTTAAATCAACTGTTTGCACTGGAATTCTGTTGTGCACGTAAAAATACTAGAAAATTTACAAAAGTATTAACCTGCAAAATTTGGTTCTGCAATTTTAAGAATCCAAAAGGGATAATTCCTTAAAAGATTTCACTTTTCCAAACATCTGGTGGTGTCTGGCAAGTAGGCTTCATTTATTAGGCAGCTCCTGCTGCCAGATTCTTCCAATAGGTTTCAAACAAATGCACAACTAACAGAAAACACTTGCATCTACACAAATCCTACAGAAAATTACTCAGAATGGCAATTTTTTATTAAATATTTGCATCTCCCTGAAACATCTATGCTTACTTCATTTATCTGATGGCAACACTAAAAACTAAAATTGAAGATGGCACAAATATCTTTGGTTTAACTGCAAAAAGAATTCAAAGGGATAACCAGTTAGTGTGATTGGTCTTTAAAAAAATGAAAATCCCCATTTTTAGCATGTTTTTGCCTAATATCAGCAACTGAGAAGTTTCAAATGCTATGTATTATTCAAACCATTGAGAAATGACAGATACTAGGCCAGGTACAGTATGAACCCTGCCACCGCTTCTCAGAAAGCACTCCCTATAAAACCATGCAAAGTTTTAGATTTCCTGTCCAGCTAACATGGGGATTTCCATATCCAAAATCCTCACCTGCTCTCTTTCAAACTGAAATATACCAGCTGAAACAAACATAAACATCCATGGTCACAATTCCTTCTCTAAAGAAGATTAAATTTGCACCTGGAATTGAGGATTTCATACTGTAAAATAACAGATGATCAGTGCCTGAAGTCCACAGGAGAGGAAGGTGCAGTACTGAAAGTGCACTGGGATTTGAAGAAAGATGTGCAGGATGAAAAAAGCACAAAACTCTCCTCTACTTGCCACATAAACCTCATAAATCTGACCCTGCATTGGCATGTTCTTGCTGACAGCTCTCCTGCATCCACTGACAGATACTCTCTCTAGTGTGCAGTAGCCAGCCCACTGTAAGATACAAAATCTGTACATGCTTATCATGACTATTAAATGGAATCAAACACTGCATCAAGATGGCTTAATAGCAAAAGTAAATTGATGGGAAATAGGAATTCAATTTTTTTATGAGTATGAATTTTACATTAAAATATATATGGAAAAAAGTAAAAAGAAAACAGACGAGGAGGCTACAACAACTCATCATAGAATTTGAGAATTACAATTTTCTAATCTAAACTAGGCTATGTTTCGTTTAAATTAGAAGATCAGAGATGAGAATTATTAGCAGGTTCTTTCTAAACATTTACAGGCCAGCTGCAGATGGGGACTGTTTTTCATTCACGCAGTCACAAACACTTTACCATCACCGCCGTAACTCCTGAACATTTGTCTGTTTGGTTTATTAAGTTAGAAGTTACTGTCTGCGATATAACCAAACAAATAGCTACTGAAGTTGGAACAGCTCTTTCAATTAGCATTGTCACACAAACAAGAACATTTGCGCTGTGAATGAGTAAGAGGCTGGTGCAGGCAAGAGGAGCGACTGCTGTCTGGGGGAGACTGAAGAACGACTGCGACATTAGGATGCCGCGGCTCATGCCAGCTCCCCCCACTCACACACCCTTCTCCAAGACTGCATTGCGTACGCTTTCGCAGATCAGCCCGACGCCGCCAGCCGGGAGCAGGCGAGCACGCCTGGCGGGCTGCGAGCGCCTGGCTCGCTTCCCTGCGCACGGCGAGGAGCGCACGGCCCGGCCAGGGAGCGGGGAGGCGCCGCACACGCACGGCCGGCCGCGGCACACACCCGCATAGACCCGCACACACCCCGCACAGACCCGCACACACCCTGTATAGACCCGGCACAGACCCCGCACAGCCCAGCACACACCTTGCACACACCGCGAATAGACCCGCACACACCCCCGCACACAGACCCTGCACGCCTCCGGCACAGCCCTGACAGCCAGCGGCAGCCCCGCAGCCTCCCCTGCACCGGGACAGCCTGCGGGCTCTCTGCTGCCCAGGGAGACACGGGGGAAGGGATGACATCGGCCCAGAGCTGGGCAGGGCAGGATGCACACAGGAGCATCAGCTGTGCCCGTTCCCCGGTGCTGGTCCCATCCCGTGCGGCACTCAGAGAGAGCTGATAGCCAGACAGGGGCTACAGCCAGCCTGTAAGGAATGCCAGCCTGGCAGAGTGGGAAAGCAGGGTGTTTATTCTTGAAGGGTGAGTGCAGTCTTCCCTTCTTTGAGTCCCAAAGTAAGGAGATTTGGCAGTCTGACCATCCCCGAGTCTCCCTGGCAGTCACACTCCCAGCTGCAGGGACTGTCACTGCAGAGCCGCGGTGATCCAAAGGTCCCCACTGGACTCCCTGCACTCCCCCCCCACACAGGGCAGGATTCCTCACCAGCTCTATCCCATAGCAGAGTCCGAGACATCCTTGTTCCATAAAGCCAATTATTTACAGTGCAGGAACAAAGAAACAGCTCGAGCTGCTGCCTCTGAGGAGGGACACCAAGAAAGGAACCCCTGGGCTTTTACCCCCCCCACAGTCCAAGCAGGCCAAACTCCTGCTCTTCTTCCCAAGGCTCCTGCAGCTGTGTCACTCACCTGGCTGTACCACAGGTCCCTGTGCCTTCTGCCATGCAAAGGGCTGGCAGTTCAGGGACTCTTGCCTTGGGTTCTCACCAGCCAGAGCTCCACCTGCAGCCTGCAAACAGAGCCAACTTCACCAAACCTACCCCTCAGCAGAAGAGGCAAGGCACATACACAAAAACCCCACACAAAACATAGTGGGAAACCATAAAATCTTCCCCAGGCATGGATTTAGAACTGCCTGTAAACTAGAATGCTAAACCTACTTTTGGTGCATCCAGGGAAACAGCCTCAATAACTAGATTACTGATTTATGAGAGGACAAATTTGAAGCTGGCATAATTTAGAGCCCCCAGCTAGGATACTTTAGGTGACTTAGTAAGCAAATGAAACCAGATCTGATTATGTGGTAGTAACACTAGACAAGCTGTGCAAGAATGATAGTGTTTTCTAGTGCCATGCCTCAGAGCACTGTACATTTACTTGCAGAATAACAGGACCACATTTTCCCTTCTTATTGTCTGTGCTATCATCATGCTGGGATACCACTGGTATGGTCCCAGAAACTTGTCCACAAACTGGTCCCACTCATTTTTAAGCTATTAAATACAAGGAATTTTTTGTAAGATCCTGTTATCATTGAGTTTCTTACTAAAGACTAAGTTCACAGCATAAATTCGTGTACCAAACTGGCCTCAACAGCTTTCATGCTATTCAGATTATCCAATATTTATTATTGGAGACCTTTTAGTGTGCATGTAAAGTAGTTTTCTACCCAAACAGTTTTTCTGTCTTTGTATTGCTTTTCTCCCTTGAATTTCTGAAAGAACTCAGTAGAATCTAAATCACCTAAATAGCATGTGAAGGAACCAGGACCACTGTCTGTAAGCTTTAGAGGCTGGATGATTCAGTTTGGTTCCAAGTTGAACTTTTTGGCTCTGTTCTGTTTTCAATTCCTTTTCTTTTGCTTGTTTGCAGCAATGAGAAAATTAGCACAGATACAGCATTTGCAAATGTTATTTTCTTAGACTGGATTCTAGGATTGCTTCTTAAGACTGAGCACAGAGCTATCCTAAACCTTTTCCAAGAGGAAATGAATATATTTGCTATAGCAAATGCAATTCAACATATTTTGTTAAGTCTTGAGGCTATTTTCCTGTAACATCTTGTTTGTCAGCAACACATGCAAAACTCCAGTGGCACAGCTTTGAATCTCTTTCTAAATAATGACACTGAGGAAAAGCAACTACATTGAGTTTCAATGAAAGTAGACTTTGCTTATCAAAGAGGAAAAAAAAGGGAAAACAGTTTTTGTTCCACTACAGATGAGAATTGATTAGAGAAGTAGAAGTCTGTGCTAAGACTGTGCAAATGCAAAGTTTTCATTAATATGATTATATCCCTCACTATGAGAAGAAACAGGCTCATTTAAGAGAAGCCAATATGTGTTTTTCACTGGAGACTGTACAAAGCCCACGTGGCATCAGCCCACTGCTCTGGGCTCTGCGTGACTTCTGGAACATTTCAAGTTGTCCTGAACAGCCTACTGAAGTGAGCCCACAGTCCTTGGATTTAACACCAACTTCCACTTCTTTAATAAACTGTGCGGTGTAGAACCACACACTACCAATTAGTGACAACAGATGTGACTAGAATTTCAAAAAAGCTTACAAGAAGTGGCCTTTAGATAATAAAAATGGTTTGAAATATCTGAGTCAGATATAACAGATGAGATGACTTTTCTGTACCCCCTTTCTGCCCACTTGCTGTACATGCATTACTGAGCTACCATCATTAATTCAATCTCTACCTACAAGAACAAAAATCAAAAAATCCTAATTATTAGCAAATTCCCTGCTCAAAAGCTCAGATCTTCTTTCCACATGACAAAAAATTACTTAAGAGTGTATCCTTCAGTAACTGTTCTTTCTGCCTACAAAAATAATCTTGTGCTTTCAACAAAGAAGTTCCAGCACATTCTCCAGTCAGGTGTCTAATGAGAACATGGACAGAGAAATTAAATGCTGCAAGGCATGGAACAGACTCATCCTATCCACCACATCTTCCTCCACTAAACATCACTGGCAATGGGACAAGTAGACCTCTGAATGCAAAATACATGAAAAGAGCATGTTCCCATTTTCCAGAACAGGATGTGCACCTGGTTCTCCCTTACTAATACCAGGCTGATAGAACTCTGTCTGTACAAACACAGGCTGTTAGCTCTAGCTGTAAATATTCTTACTAGCTGGAAGAGTCTGGCCTAGTGCAAGAAAAGCTGTTTATTGTTTCTGCACCTAGCCTGGCAGCTCTGCCAAATTACTTGCACTCAGGGTATCTGCAGATAGGTGTGAAAGCAATTACAGAGATACCTAGTCTATTTTTGCCTCTTTTCTCTCCTCAAAATTCACCCATTTCAAAAACCTAAGTAAAGGCTTGGAACAAGGAATATTCTGGGCTTCAAAACACATCTCATTTTCCCTATCAGTAACACAGAAGTTGCAAGAAATCTGGTGCTCCTCAGGAATAGCAACAGATAAAACTATAATTTTCGCCACATTTCATCCCATCGTTATTCCTTTCTCAAGAATGACAAGAAGGGATTTCCTTCTGGTTTGTCAGAAGATTGCTTCTTGCAGTCTTTAGAAAACCAGCAGATATTTTGCTAAAAACATGGTGCAGAGCAGACCTGAGGACCATATGGTTTATTGCAAAAGATTCTCTCTGACACATCCTCCTCAAATGTCAGTCCTGTTGTTCTGTGGCAGGGATCAATAATCCCTGTGTGGAGGGAGATATCTTCCCAGAGAGGCCCAAGTGCTTAAGAATCTGCGATTAGCTGCAATGAGAACAGGGACTGGACAAAGCTGATTTGGAATCCAGTAATGAAAGCTGCCCCAGGAGCAGCTGGCAGCCCTTTAATGAAACTCACAGCAGTGACTCCTGAGCTGAGACATGCACAGTGCCTCCACAGCCACTGAGATTACAGGTGCCACAGCCGGGAAGCATCCATAAGTTCTTCCTGCAGGTCATCACTCACATCCTAGAGAGAAATTTCTGAATCTGAACCTGCAAGTGGGGCTGTATCTCTGCTGGATACCTCATAGCCTTGAAGTGAACCCAAGTGCTGTATTATGGGAGAGATGATTCTCCTCATCACACCTTTCTTTCTTGACATGAAGATTATCTTATCCTCCCTTCAGCTCTATTTTCTTACTTGCAAATGAGGATAGGGTAACTCCAAACATCATAATTAAACAACACTGACTGCAAAATCCAAATATTTCCAACTGTTTCAGATGTCAGTTTTTCTTCTCAGCCTACAAAGTCTGGGTTTGCTAGAGGTGTAAATTTTTTCATGTATTTCTTGACAAACATTTTTCACTAGGAAGAATTAATTTGATTAAACGAACTCCTTTATGGTGTAAGGTTGATTTGGTAATAGCTTGCTTCTACATTTTCAAAGTAAAGCTAGAATACATGAATTCTGAACTTAATTCAAACTTCAAAGCCTTTCACATTTTAAGGAAAAAGAATAGTTTAAATTTAAGTAAGAAATATGAAATGTATATTCATACAAGCAAACACACCAACTGCATTTTTAAGACTATTATTTTTTCTTTATAATGTTCAGGAATATAAATTTTTCAGGATTGAGCCTTCATGAAAATACAATGTCCTGAAATACTGAGAATTCACTTGAAGTGAGAAAACCATTCCTTACTCAAGTCATATTAATACAAGTTAATATCGAAATACAATCTCGACTGTCAGTCACATGTGAATGTTAACTTTTATGTGGCTGGTGATAGCTATAAACATTTAAATACTTATCTCCTTCAGTGCCTCTGAAAAGCAGTACTTGTCCTGGTTTACAACTCTATTAATCTGAAATTATACCCCCTATATTTAACATTGACTGTTAGCTTGTATTTCTGTCTGCACTTTTCTGTGCAACACTTCAAGGAAAAATGAAAGCTTTGT